ATGGGCAGAAGACCTAAATAGACATTTCTCCAAAGAAGATATACAGACTGCCAACAAACACATGAAAGGATGCTCAACATCATTAATCATTAGAGAAATGCAAATCAAAACTACAATGAGATATCATCTCATACCAGTCAGAATGGCCATCATCAAAAATTCTAGAAACAATAAATGCTGGACAGGGTGTGGAGAAAAGGGAACACTCTTGCACTGCTGGTGGGAATGTGAATTGGTACAGCCACTATGGAGAACAGCATGGAGGTTCCTTAAAAAACTACAAATAGAACTACCATACAACCCAGCAATCCCACTACTGGGCATATACCCTGAGAAAACCATAATGCAAAAAGAGTCATGTATCAAAATGTTCATTGCAGCTCTATTTACAATAGCCCGGAGATGGAAACAACCTAAGTGTCCATCATCAGATGAATGGATAAAGAAGATGTGGCACAAATATACAATGGAATATTACTCAGCCATAAAAAGAAACAAAACTGAGCTGTTTGTAATGAGGTGGATGGACCTAGAGTCTGTCATACAGAGTGAAGTCAGACAGAAAGAGAAAGACAAATACAGTATACTAACACATATATATGGAATTTATGAAAAAAAATGTCATGAAGAACCTAGGGGTAAGACAGGAATAAAGACACAGACCTACTAGAGAATGGACTTGAGGATATGGGGAGGGGGAAGGTTAAGCTGTGACGGAGCGAGAGAGTGGCATGGACATATATACACTACCAAATGTAAAACAGATAGCTGGTGGGAAGCGGCCGCATAGCACGGGGGGAACAGCTCCGTACTTTGTGACCGCCTGGAGGGGTGGGATGGGGAGGGTGGGAGGGAGGGGGATGCAGGAGGGAGGAGATATGGGAACGTGTGTGTGTGTGTGTGTGTGTGTGTGTGCGTGTGTGTGGCTGATTCACTTTGTTGTGGGGCAGAAACTGACACACCATTGTGTGGCAATTATACTCCAATAAAGATGTAAAAAAAATAAAATAAAATAAAAAATAAAAATAAAAATCTCTCTCCCACTCAGCATAAGGTTGAACACTAACATTTCATAAGTCTCTATCATTTTGACTTTTATATCAGAAAATTATCTCGTGGACCCAGTAAACAAATACATTGACCAATAAATTCAAAACCCAACCAGACTATGTCCAAGTGTTCAGGTATATAACCACAGAAGATCAGTTAAATTGCTAATGATAAGCAGGATCAAAGACTTCTAGGACTTTTTTAGTTTGAAGCAAGCTTAGCAAATACTTAGCCTAAACCCTTAATTTTATGGAAATATATATAAATTTCTAATCTTAACAACAGAAAAAATGGATTCCAAATACCTGAACACTGATGAAAACTATGCAGCTGAGACCTGGGATGATATTAATGGATTTGGTCAATACACACGGATAATTTTCATTTATGCTAATGATAGCGCTTCCCTATAGCAGGCTTTGTCGATGCCTGCTGCTGTCCCTGGGCACTCACCATTTTGAAGCACACCAATCTGACAGCTTCCAACTGCCAGCACCTGAAACTAGTCGCCCGAGGGCTTTCTCTGGCCACCAGAGCCCTCCAGGCCTATACTGGGCAATGCCAGGGAGTTAATACACCTGCTGGCAGTCCTCAATTAATGATGGAAAGTGAGTTGGATGACAAATACCCCAGCTCCTTTGCTCCTGAGATGGAATCATGCTGAAGCATATTCTACAGTTCCCCAGCAAAACTGAGCCCCAGTTGTCCACAGTAATAACTGGCTTAAAAAAAAAAAAGTGGAGGAGAAGGCAGAAGAGGAGAGTCAGAAGGAGATGTGACTCAAGCAATGAAATTGAAACTGTAATTAAAAATCTTCCAACAAACAAAAGTTCAGGGCCAGAGGGCTTCACAGGTGAACTCTATCAAACATTTAGAGAAGAGCTAACACTCATCCTTCTCAAACTCTCCAAAAAATTGCAAAGGAAGGAACACTCCCAAACTCACTCTATGAGGCCACCATCACCCTGATACCAAAACCAGACAAAGATACTACAAAAAAAGAAAATTACAGACCAATATCACTGATGAATATAGATGCAAAAATCCTCAACAGAATACTAGCAAACAGAATCCAACAACACATTAAAAGGATCATATACCATGATCAAGTGGGATTTATCGCAGGGATGAAAGCATTCTTCAATACACACAAATCAGTGTGATACACCATATTAACAAATTGAAAAATAAAAACCATGTGATCATCTCAATAGATGCAGAAAAAGCTTTTGACGAAATTCAACACCCATTTATGATAAAAAAAAAACTCTCCAGAAAGTGGGCATAGAGTGAACCTACCTCAACATAATAAAGTCCATATATGTCAAACCCACAGCAAACATCATTCTCAATGGTGAAAAACTGAAAGCATTTCCTCTAAGATCAGTAACAAGACAAGGATGTCCACTCTTGCCACTATTATTCAACATAGTTTTGGAAGTCCTCGCCACGGCAATCAGAGAAGAAAAAGGAATAAAAGGAATACAAATTGGAAAAGAAGTAAAACTGTCACTGTTTGCAAATGACATGATACTATACATAGAGAATCCTAAAGATGCCACCAGAAAACTACTAGAGCTAATCAATGAATTTGGTAAAGTTGCAGGATACAAAATTAATGCACAGAAATCTCTTGCATTCCTATACATTAATGATGAAAAGCCTAAAAGAGAAATTAAGGAAACACTCCCATTTACCATCGCAACAAAAAGAATAAAATACCTAGGAATAAACCTACCTAGGGAGACAAAAAACCTGTATGCAGAAAACTATAAGACACTGATGAAAGAAATTAAAGATGATACCAACAGATGGAGAGATATACCATGTTCTTGGATTGGAAGAATCAATATTGTGAAAATGACTCTACTACCCAAAGCAATCTACAGATTCAATGCAATCCCTATCAAACTACCATTGGCATTTTTCACAGAACTAGAACAAAGAATTTCACAATTTGTATGGGAACACAAAAGACCCCGAATAGCCAAAGCAATCTTGAAATCTGGAGAAAGAAAAACGGAGCTGGAGGAATCAGGCTCCCTGACTTCAGACTATACTACAGAGCTACAGTAATGAAGACAGCATGATACTGGCACAGAAACAGAAATATAGATCAATGGAACAGGATAGAAAGCCCAGAGATAAACCCACGCACCTATGGTCACCTAATCTATGACAAAGGAGGCAAGGATATATAATGGAGAAAAGACAGTCTCTTCAATAAGTGGTGCTGGGAAGACTGGACAGCTACATGTAAAAGAATGAAATTAGAACACTCCCTAACACCATACACAAAAATAAACTCAAAATGGGTTAAAGACCTAAATGTAAGATTGGACACTATAAAACTCTTAGAGGAAAACATAGGAAGAACACTCTTTGACATAAATCACAAAGATCTTTTTTGATCCACCTCCTAGAGTAATGGAAATAAAAACAAAAATCAACAAATGGGACCTAATGAAACTTAAAAGCTTTTGCAAAGCAAAGGAAACCATAAACAAGACCAAAAGACAACCCTCAGAATGGGAGAAAATATTTGCAAATGAAGCAACTGACAAAGGATTAATCTCCAAAATATATAAACAGGTCATGCAGCTCCATATTAAAAAAACAAACAACCCAATCCAAAAATGGGCAGCAGACCTAAATAGACACTTCTCCAAAGAAGACGTACAGATGGCCAAGAAGCACATGAAAAGCTGCTCAACATCACTAATTATTAGAGAAATGCAAATCAAAACTACAATGAGGTATCACCTCACACCAGTTAGAATGGGCATCATCAGAAAATCTACAAACAACAACTGCTGGAGAGGGCGTGGAGAAAACGGAACCCTCTTGCACTGCTGGTGGGAATGTAAATTGATACAGCCACTACGGAGAACAGTACGGAGGTTCCTTAAAAAACTAAAAATAGAATTACCATATGACCCAGCAATCCCACTACTGGGCATATACCCGAGAAAACCATAATTCAAAAAGACACATGTACCCCAATGTTCAGTGCAGCACTATTTACAATAGCCATGTCATGGAAGCAACCTAAATGCCCGTCGACAGATGAACAGATAAAGAAGATGTGGTACATATATACAATGGAATATTACTCAGCCATAAAAAGGAACGAAATTCGGTCATTTGTAGAGACATGGATGGATCTAGAGACTGTCATACAGAGTGAAGTTAGTCAGAAAAGAGAAAAACAAATATCATATATTAACGCATATATGTGGAACCTAGAAAAATGGTACAGATGAACCGGTTTGCAGGGCAGAAATAGAGACACAGATGTAGAGAAGAAACGTATGGACACCAAGGGGGGAAAGTGGCCAGGGGGCAGTGGTGGTGTGATGAACTGGGAGATTGGGATTGACATATATACACTAATATATATAAAATGGATAACTAATAAGAACCTGCTGTATAAAAAAATAAATAAAATAAAATTCAAAAAAAAAAAAGGAGGAGATGTGACTATGGATGAATGGTCAAAGAAATGCAACTTTGCTCGTTTGGAAGATGGAGGAATCACACTTGGACCAGCCAAACCAGACTCTTTGCTATTCGAAAAGCAATTTTCTTTCCTTTTCTCACGTTGTTTCCTCCCTCTGGAATTGTATTGGACCCATCAACTCAAATCCTAAGAATCCTTCAAGGTCCACATTTTTCTAGTATGAGTCAATGTATAAGTGAACAAATGCATAAAAAATGAAAGCTACCTGTGTATAGGTTGGCTTTCCTACCTCGTCATACACCCTGGCAACAAGAATCAGAAAACAAATACCTAACATGGCAAGAGTGGGGCCAACCCATGCCAGGTTCTATGCCTTCTTTTTGCTCAACAACCACTAGCTTTGTTCCTTTGACTTTATATTCTATGCTCTGCCAAAACATCATATTCTTTGTTACTTGTCAGTAAGTGGTTTCTTTATTAGTTTACTTACCGAGGATATTCTGTTCCCCAAAAGAAAGGTTTCTGGAGCTCTCCTGCTGGAAATCCTGGGAGAAAGACAAACAAAATTGTAAGGGACATAGGGATTGATTTAATGATGAGTACCTGGTTCTAGCTTTGGCACTGAAGTTCCAAAGGCCCATCTTAAAGGTACTCCTCATGGAGCTGGGATCCCTCTAAGAGATCCAACTATCTCTAAGATGATATTAATTCAACTGAGTTTGAAATCAGTGCATTCCATCAGTTTCAAGGAAACTATTTCGCACGGATACACTATTGGCAGTGTCCAGGTTGCCGTGAACTGGGTTCCTTCATAAACAGCGCATGCAAGAGGCTTCCAGCTGTCTTGTGGCTTCCCCTGATACAGAAAGGGCCAGCTTCATGGGCACACAACCAATGCAGTCACACGGGGCCCCCGTGCAGAAGGACCCTGCAATGAAATTAATGCTCTGCTGTCACTGTATGAAATGCTTAATAAATTTATGTTTGAATGTGATTTTGGAAGTGGAGACCAAGGGGACAAGAAAGCATGCATGTGAGCAAAGCAGCCATGCAAAATATTCCTGTCCACGGTTCCTTTTATGCTCCATTTGCATGCAGCATCCAAGATGCTCCCTGGGAGCGCAGAACTCCAGTAGACCCACAGAATGTGTGAATTCAGCAAGACTCAAAACGAGTACAAGGTAAGCATATTACATCTAGGACTGAGTATGTGGGAGCTCTGACAGCCCTCTTCGGGCTCTTTCTGTTGGAAGCAGAATTTTCTTTGATCACCAAAGGGCAGCAGTGGCATTCTAAGAAACATGAATGGCCAAGGAAGTCTGTCATACTCTTTCTTACTCCTGTATCAGTCAACCACATATACCAAAATGATGACGTAGAAGGAAAGGGAAAGACAGGACAACCCATAGTTTCTTTTCCTTTCAGTCCTTTCTTACTCATCAGTAAGCCAAAGGTAGAGAGTGTTGGTAGAATGTACATGTATATAAGAAATGAAGTAAAACCAACTGAGTTAGTTTTATGCAGTGTTTCCACTGTTCTGGCAAGAAGAAAATACATACTCATGTACAAGCTAGAAAATATAAACTACAATTTCGTCAATTCTACATCTAAGTTAAAAGTTCTTTTATCTGGGGAGTTCCCTGGTGGCACAGTGGATAAGACTCCATGCTCCCAATGCAGGGGGCCTGGATTCGATCCCTGGTCAGGGAACTAGATCCCACATGCATGCTGCAACTAAGAGTTCGCATGCCTCAACTAAGGAGGCTGCATGCCACAACTAAGGAGCCCACATGCTGCAACTAAGGAGCTGGCGAGCCACAACTAAGGAGCCCTCGAGCCGCAACTAAGGAGCCCACCTACCACAACTAAGACCCAGAGCAACCAAATAAATAAATAAATAAATATTGTTTAAAGAAAAGTTCTTATATCTGTATTTGTTTTGGCATTGCACAATATAAAGATGAATGGTAAAATTACGCTGATGATTTAAATTTTTAATTTTTCTTACAACTTACAATGGTATTAAATAGCAAATTAAAAATACTGTGACAAGTCTAGAGAAAGAAAGGCTGTAGAAGACAGGACAAAGCTATATATTTTAGCCCCTTTACAGCACTTTTTCCTGCTTTCTGAAAAAGAGGTCCCCATATTTTCATTTTGTACTAAGTCCCACAAATTATGTAGCTGGCCCTGGGTGCAGATGAGTGGGAGAAATGCCTTGTTTTGCTGTGCCATTGCAAGTCACCACTAAATTTTGTTCCCTGGGGTTGATCCTAGGAGCTGCACTTACAAGCCATCACAACTGGGAATGCAAAGAATAGTAACAAAGAAAATGACAGAGAGAGAGAGATACCTTCTGCAACATCCTTGCCTGCTCCAGAGCCACTGCTCAAAGCTGCTGGAGACTAAAAGCTCTTTTATAAGAGTTCAAATGTTTTATCTTCCCTCTCTCCTTCTCAACAATCTGTCTACCTCTCCTCCAAGACAGGACACTACGAGAAGTGAGGGTAGGAAAGCACATTCTTAATTTAGAAGTGAAATATTAATTCTATGTAATTCATATACATATATTATTTATATTTTTTTAATAATATCATAGTTTGAGATTTCAGCGTGCAAAAACCTAATTGTAAAACAGAGCTGGATCCAGCTAGTAGTCCTCTCTCTTCCTGCTGCTTTCACATAAAGGAAAATGCATCTGACTCTGGAGGGGCAATGTCATATTAATCTTCATAATTTCCACATTTTCTTAAATATCTTTGGCATCTTTATATCAATATTCCATCATCTTTTTGGTGATTACTTTTAGTAAGTCATTCTGACTTGGATATATATATGCAAATATATATTACATATATATGCAAATCACAGTTTTTATATGAAAATTCTGTCTCACATAATATATCATCAAAAAGGAATGATATTTCCCAATAAGAACAATGATCATAGACCAATGTGACTTAATTATTAAATCATTATGGCTTTCCTGCTTGGTAATGTGCCCAGTTGGAAGCATTTATGTTCATTGCCAACCCCTTTACAGGAAAACATCTGACACCTGCACGAGCCTCCTTTCTGCCGCTGTTGCTGTTAGAGGCCCCAGACTCGCAGACCGCAGCCATCACACTCCCCTGATCAGCTGTATCTTCGCAGCTTGTCAGGGCCATGGAACCCAACACTGATCAACAGAAGAATCTGATGCCCTTAGGACCATTTTGCTGAAGTGAATGGATTAACTGTTTAAGCTGCATTTTTGGAGATGTCAACTGGCAAGAGTGATAGATCAAATCCCAACAGGGCCAACTCAATATCTTATCTCATAAAGCGAATGAGCTCTATTTAGCAAAGGTAGAAGTGAAAAATAATTAAATAAATGGAAAGGGAATTCTTTTTCTTTTCCTCTCCCTTTTTAATAGGCTTTTCTTATCTTTTCTTGCATATCCATTTTATCTCCTCTTCTTCCCATTTCAGCACTGCCTCACCACCTATTTCACACTTTTCAAGCTCCTTTTTCTATCAGTATATTTATGGGAGACATTCCTCACAATGTAAGTGTGTGTGTGTATATATGTACGCATACATATGAACATGAGAGATAGGAGAGAGGGAAGGAGAGGGAGGAAAGAGAAATTTAACTATCGGACTGGCAAAAATTCATAAATTTAATAATACTGACCAGGGTGTAGGAAGCATGTTGGTGGGAATATAAATTCTTGCAAGCATTTTGGAAAGCAATTTAGTCATCTCTCAATGCTTTAAATGCCATTTAAAAAAATGAGTAACTGCAGGCTGATAAGGAAAAGGCTCTAACAGATATTATTAAGCAAAAAAATATTAAGTGTAAATACAGCATTCTGTCACATATGAGTCCTTTTATGTGTACTACATGTGTAAATGTATGCATAGGTATATAGAGTCAGGTCTGCTATAACGCTTGTATTGAAAAGGTAAATTTGTTCCAACATGATTGAAGTAGCAGGGAAAAGACTGGAACGTAACTCCAATTTCACATTTTCTTATGCACAATTTTGTCCATGAGAAATGCTAGATGAAAGCAGAAAACTGCACCCAAATGAACTGAGCTGCTTAAGAGTACACAAAATGCACACATCCCAACATGGACCAGCTACCTCTGTCCCCCATGTGTTAGAAGCCCTACCCATCCACATCTGGTGTTAAAACTTTTCAGATAAACCTCCTTCCACCACTACACAGTAACTCACAAGCTGCAGGCCCTCCAATGCCAACTTCCCCAAGCAAACGTCAGGTCTTTTTTTTAAGGGAAAGCAGCATATTTACTGTAGAGTTTATGTATTTACCCATTTAACACGTGTAAAACCGTGCTATCGTTTTTATTAGGCTCCTAGCTTTTGTTTTCACGTGTCACTGATAGTTTTTGATTGCTGTGCCCCAGCCCCATTTGTCCCATAAGCCTTGTGGCTTTTATTGCACAGTTTTGCATAGTGCAGTGATGTTTAGGACCACATGTCGCATTACAGCAGAACTGACTACGTATATACACATCTATGTGTATATGTACACATATATATTCCCACCAGCGGTTCTCAAATTTTGTCATGCATCAGAATCACCTGGAGGACTTACTGAAACACAGATTGCTGGGCCTCACCCTCAGAGCTTCTGAGTCAGTAGGTCCAGAGAGGTGGCTAGGAATTTGCATCACTAACAAGTTCCCCTGTGATGTGATGCTGATGGTTTGGGAACCACACTTCAAGAACCACGGCCCAGTCACTGGCTGTCATGCACTGTGGTGCTATGGCTAAATATGTTTATTGCTGCATTGCTGTAACTGAGGAAAGTGTGCAACAACCTAGATGTTCAACAGGAGGGGAATGAGTTAATGATGTCATAACCATATTATGGACTGCTGTGCAGCAAATGAAAAGAAAGAGGCAGGTCTCCATATTCTAGCGTGGGAAACTCTCGAACAAATGCTGTTAGAATAAAGCAAGGCATAGATATAGATATATAAATGCCATTTATATATTTAAGATAACTATCCTATCAGTCTGAGTATATGTATGAAAATTCACAGAAAAGGTCTGTAAAATACATACCAAAGTGGTCATAGTGGTTACTTACCTCTTGGAGCTAAATGGGATTTGGGGTGGTGGGTGGTTAAAGGGGCTTTGGACATAAATGTAATGTTTTAAATATTGATTAATCAAAGGTAATCAACTTGTATAATTAAAATGAACTCTTTTAGGGACTTCCCTAGTGGTCCAGTGGTTAAGAATCCGCCTTCCAATGCAGGGGACGCGGGTCTGATCCCTGGTCGGGAAACTAACATCCCACATGCCGCAGGACAACTAAGCCCGCGCGCCACAACTACCGAGCCCGTGCGCTCTGGAGGCCGTGAGCCACAAGTAGAGAGAAGCCCGTGCGCCGCAACAAAGAAAGATCCCGCATGCCGCAACGAAGACCCAACACAGTCAAAAATAAATACATAAATATTTAAGAAAATAAAATGAACTCTTTTAGAGATAACAGGTGTGTGTATTACAGAAATTTCTTCTAAAGGTTA